GAACGAAAAAAGGACAGCAGAGACAGCACCGAATATTGATCAGTTTCCCTGCGCGCAGTCGATCTAGGGCTTGATCAATTCTTCTATTAAAATTCGTGGTCACATGACAGTATACCCACTCGCACCTGAGTGAATTAATTGCCTCTGGGTTTTTCCACAGAAGTGCGCTGACTTCCCCCCACACACCCACTACCTTTTCACAGCTCTTCAGCCAATCACCTGGCAGAGAGCAACAAACTGCCAGGTGACACTTGTTACATGAAGTTTGGCTAGCTGGTATATAATGATGTGCTATGTGACCGCTAGCGACACAGCTATGTTAGCATAATATAAACAAGCTAACTTTTTTCTCCACGCAAAAGTTAACGTGAGTGTTCTTGGTGGTCAGGAACAAATGTAATTGCTTGGCAGGATGCTGTAAAAGTACCAAAGTTCAGCCAGGAGAACAACTGAGATAATCCATCCACAATACGAGGTTAGTCATTCATATACTGCTGCATGGGCTGGGCTGTAGTTACATCCTAAGGTTTTAAAAACTGAGCTTAAATAAATGATTTGCGGTAATAAAAGCTGAGGGAGGTCAACAGTGATCACTGACTGTTTTAGGAGCTTTTTGAGATTAAATAGAAGAAAATACAAAACATTAAACATGTTAACAACACAAAAGCCATATTAAACGCAGACTACTTTAGGCCCAGAAGTAGGATTCGTCACGTCATCACTTAACGACCGGATTGCACCCTTATGGAACCTCTTTTTGTTTGTTTGATTGTTTGTTTTGTTTTTTCCTCTCATTCATTTGAACATCGTTTAAAATAGTATATGATCCTGAAAGAAAAAACAACACTTTCGGGGTCTTTTACAAAGCTTTATACTCACAACAGACACCCATCTAAAAATGAAATTGATTTCCAGCAGAATTCTATAAAGAGATAACCCCCCTCATAATAAATCCTAATCAAACTGGTTTCATACATGGGAGGCATTCATCAACAAATACACGTTGATTACTTAATTTGATAGATTATTCATGCAGTAAAAACGCTGAAACTACAATGCAATTGCATCTCTAGATGCAAAAAACAAAAAAAAAAAACAAACAAAAACTTATTTGCTAGAGTTAACTGGAAATTTTTATTTGTAACTTTACACAAATTTGGTTTTAGAAACTCCTTCATGAACTGGTTAAAACATTATATAGTTTCCCAACAGCTTGTGTCAGGACAAATGACCAAACATCCTCCAGCTTCTGTCTCCAGAGGGGCACCAGACAGGGATGCCCACTCTCCCTTTCACTGTTTACAATTTTTATTGTGCCATCAATTACACCGGCTATAGTGAGTGAAGAGTGTTGAACATAAAATCATACTTTATGGGAATTACATGTTGCTTTTTCACCACTATTCACAAACCACTCTGTGAGGTAATTATATTAATAAACTCTTTCTCAAGAGCTTCAGATTATTTGATAAACTGGTTCAAATCTATAGTTCTTACAATGAATTGCTCCTTCCATAATTCTTCTTCCACCCCACTGTAATCTGGAGATATTAAATATTTAGGTATTAATGTTTCTCCTAGTCATGCAGATTTAACTAAATTAAACCACATTTCACTTTTGAAGAAAGTACAAGATGATCTGACTAGATGGAAGTCTCTGCTTATATCACTCACGGATAGAGTTGCTTCAATAAAAGTGATGGTTTTGCCAAGAATCAATTATTTATTCTCAGTGATCACGAGTAAACCATTGCCTAACTCGTTTGTATCTCTGGAGTCCTTTACAAAAATAAACCACTGCATTTTAGCTTAAAAACCCTGCAAAGGACCAGGGATAAAGGAAGACTAGACCTGCCTTTCACCACTATTCCATAGCTAACAGAGTACAATACATCTCAGGATGGTTAAAACATACTCTCTCAATTCAATTCAATTCTTTATTGCCCCACAAGGGGAAATTAGTTTAGCAGCAAGGGCAGCAATAGGAATAAACAAAATGCTAATAAAAAGCCACAAGACATTTATTTGCAATTAAGGGGACGAGTTGCAGTAGGGATAAAAGAAACCTGGAGTCTTTTTGTTTTCCTCACAGGTACTCTAAAACAACGGCCAGAGGGCAACAAGTCAAACTCACCGTGAAGTGGACGGTTAAAACAATTAACAATAAAATGAGCCTTCCTCAGCTCATGCTTGTTATAAATGGCAGAAAGCCCATCTTGCCAACACCCTGAGATTTTACTGGCAGTTTTTACAAAAAAGTCCCAACTGATTCATGTTCTTCAGAGTCATGTTACCAAACCAAGCAGCGATACAGAAAGAAATAATAGATTCAATAAAACGTTCTTTAAAAGACCTAATTTTCCTTAAAAAGAACAGTCTTTGCTGAACTTTTTTGGTAGTGGTATCAACACGAGGCTCAAAACACAGTTTGTGGTCAAGAACAACCCCTGAATACTTGTAACTCTCTACAATCTCAATATCAGCAGCTTTAATAGGAGATGAGCAGCCCTGGGGAGGAGAGGAGAGTACATCAGAAAGAACACTGTTCACTTTTACGCATTGCGACCTATTTGTCAAAAAGCCAACTGATCAAACTAGGATCAAGAAATAAAATTATTCAGTACCTTACCTGGAACAATGACAGCCTGTTTTCTAATCTTAGATACTGTCTGTAACTCTAGAGAAAGTGAAAAAATATGATGGAAAAATCCCACTCGACTGATCAGCACAAGTTTTCAGTAACTGCCCAGAAATGTTGTGAGGTCCAGGACTCTTAATCTTAGTGTGTCTAAAGAGATTAGCTGCCCCTCTCTCATCAATAAAAAATGATGGGGAAGTGGTAGTCAGAATCATAGAAGGCAGAGTAACACGACTCTTCCTCCAAGGTTTTCTTAGACGCTGACACGCACTGCCTTTCTTCCCATGTTTCCTTGAAACCTCAAGGCTTTTCAAAGTTTGTTCTTGACCAGGCATGAGAAACAAATCAGGGAAGCAATCCGTTCCCTCACAAAGTTAAAAATTTGGTTGAAAACTAAGTTAGAAAACACAAAAAAAATGCCTGCTGCAGGTCGCCAGAAGAGAAGTGCCCCTAAGGTCCTAATTAATACATACACATTATTAGATACTTACATGGAGAAATCATGGAAGACAAGCACAATCCCACGCACAAATGTACAAACATACACTATCACACTCTATCTTGATTGACTGCCTCCAAACATATATTGTATTATTAGCACTGTGTGCTGTTTAATAACATTTAATATTTGTTATTTACTGTTAGCTAAATTAATTATTTACTGTTAATGCATATGTCAGTTGTTTCTGTGGTTTTTCTGCTGTGTTGGTTGTTTTTTTCCCCCCCAGCAGGGACTGAAGCGGTGTTTCTGTTAACTTTCTTCCCAACTTCTCTTTCTTTCTTCTTTTTTCATTTCCGTCCCATGGTCTTGTCCATTGTGATTGTTATAACTGAAAATAAAACATCCTAGTAAAGATCTAATCTAATAAAATATGGCTATAAAGTGAACCATTTTGCAAATGCTATATGGGTCCACTTGGGAAAGTAAATCTGTTGGGCATTTTTGGCCTTTAGACAACAATTCTGCTGTCCTGCTGGACAGGCAAGCAAAAACAATTGTTTTTTTTGTTTATTTTTACTTCAGTGCAGTTCAGCTGGGTTAAGTGATGGATGGAAAGAAATTTTACTGCAGCCATAGAAACAGTTCACAGGAAGGCGGAAAGGAGTTTCACTGGATCATAACAGTAAAATATAAGAAAGTACCAATTCTATTCATCACAGATTCAATAGAAAGAATTTGCCCACTGTGTGCACACTGCTGAGGCAAAAACAAAGCTAATTTCAAGTAATTTCTGCTCTGTTTCAATAAAATACCTGTTTTATTGAGGAACAATAACTGGGGCTTACCTCTAAACACTCAACATGAGGACTGAATGAAGAGTTTTAGGACAGCCAAAGTTTTGGCGCTTAACTCACAGCTTTGAGCATCCATGCAAAGTGTCGATTCTAAAAATAAACTCCAAATACCAGCTATAACAACCATAATGGGCAGGATTTTTTTCAGCATTAGATGTGTGCTGAAAAAGACTTTAATTCACATTTAAATATTCTCCTCCTGAAAGTAAAACAAATACATAAGTCAGAAGGCCAGCTGCAAATTATTCCTGTTCACAACTGTCAGCCACAAACTGACGCTGTGCCTCGTCAGTAAATCCAGCAGCATTTTAACGTTAAAAGAACTCTTTCGGCTGCTGCAAACATTAGTAAATCTGACCCTACGTTTTCCTTGTTTTTTATAATTCGAGTCGTTATAATAAAGGCTTATTTGCCACAGGCCATTCTTGTTTATATGACAAACAAGCCACTTTTAACACTGAGAGGGCAGGGAAGCTGGAGGATCTTCCTACACCCCTGTTTCTTGCACCATGTCTGGGTTAGGAGTTGGCTGCATTCCAGAGTCACTGCTGGCTCTGGGGGCATCTTTTTGTCTGCACTTCAGATGTTTGGGTGGCTGTGAATGTGTGCACGTGCGTGCATGTATGGTTAGGCCTTGGTCTGAGGTTTGCTGAGACTTGGTCCCTTTGGGACATTGTTATTGTGGGTGGGGGTTCCCCTCCGTGCCACTCCCCACTGGTTGTTTGTCTGGGGCTGAGGTGGCTGGCCTCTCCTCTGCTGGGGTCGGCTGCCTACTGCATCTGACTCTCTGGTACTCTTGACCTTGGGTTATGGGACCGCCGTCTGGAGCTGCCCTCTTCCCTCTCTTGGGGTGGATGCACGATTGTCATTGAGATGTCGAGGAGAGAAGGTCGCTTCACAATCAGAATGCAGAGAAGGAGAAACAGATTGTCCTCATGGAAGCGGGCAGTTGCAGTCTGACACATACAGGATTAATGATGCATTGAATTGTGAAAGGACCCAGAAAACAGTGTGTCAGCTTTCTAGAAATACATTTCAAAGGAACAGTTGCAGAGGACAGCCACACCTTTTGTCCCACGGTGTATAGAGGAGTGGGAGATCTCCTCCAATCTGCCGTACAGCAAGCTTGTGTTGTAGTCTGAAGCATCGCCACCTTGGTCTGGCGCCAAATCCTGCTGCTGCGGTGCAGTTGGTCCTGGAAGCAGGATTAACCGAAACCAAACAGCAGAGCACGGATTCCAGTTGTTGGTTTGTCCTCTCAGTTTGCCCATTAGACTGCGAGTGATAGCCCAAGGAGAGGCTCACTCCCACCCCAAAGCTGTGCAAAACCCGCTTCCACGCACGACACAAACTGAGGCCGTCATCAACAAGTAAGAGAGCAGTCTCAAAGGCAGAAGGGACTTTAGGCAAGGGAACAAAATGGTCAGCCTTAGAGAATCTGTCCACGATGGTAAGGATGACCAAGTGACCAGAGGAACGCGGCAGCCCCATGACAAAGTTCAAAGTGACCAAGGGCAAAAGCCTAGAAGTCGCCTGGTGACTGCTTTTGGAACGCGCACAACATACTCATGTGCATCCCCCTCCAACAAAGGCCATCAAAAGGACAGTTTCAACAAAGACACCATATGACGAATGCCAGGGTGACAGGCGAAGTGCGCAGTGTGCAGCCAATGCAGGACACACGGGCGCACGGTGGATGGAACAAATAGCTTACCCGGAGGTCCCGATTCCTGATTTCCCATACCAAGGCCCCCACCAAACAGGAGGGGGAACAATTGTGCCCACGTCCGAGGCCTCAGCTTCCGAGGAGAATTGGCGCAACAACGCATCTGCCTTCATGTTATGGGAGCCCAGACGGAAGGAAATCATAAAGTTAAAGCGGCTAAAGAACAACTGCCACCTGGTTTGCCTGGAATTAAGCCGCTTCACGCTTCGAATGTAGATGAGATTCCTATGATTGGTCCAAATCACAAACAGATGTTCTGCTCCCTCGAGCCAGTGGTGCAACTCCTCCAAGACCAACTTAAGAGCTGGAATTTTGCAGTTACCGACGCCGTAATTTCTCTTGGCAGAACTAAACCGCGGAGAGAAAGAAAGCGCACATCGTCCGGCGAAATTTGAGACAGCACAGCTCCTGCGCCCGCATCTGAAGCGTCAGCTTCAACAACAAACTGCCTGGACACATCGGGGTGGGTGAGGACGGAAGCGGAGCAAAATAGCTCCTTAAGTCGTGAAAAAGCTTGTTCGGTTTCCGGTGTCCACTGAAAACCACGAGTGGGGATGTCAAACTAGTGAGCGGAAGCACAACGCAACTGAAATTCTTAATGAACCGCTGATAAAAATTAGCGAATCCCAGAAACCTCTGTAATTGCTTGTGTGTGGAAGAGGTCGGCCAACTCACAATGGCTTACAGGGGTCAGCTCAAAGCCACTGTCCCTTTTCTAGTATGTAACCCAAAAAGGACACTGACTCGGCATGGAAGACACATAACTCAGCTTTCACAAAGAGCTTATTTTCCAGAAACCACTGTAACACACAGCGCACCTGCTGTACGCGGTCATCTAGTGATCTGGAAAAAATTAGAATGTCGTCCAGATATGCAAAGACGAAGCGGTTCAAAAAGTCCTGCAACACATCATTGATCAGAGCCTGAAACACTGCAGGCGCATTGGTCAGTCCAAGGTCCAACTTAGTGAAAACAATCGCTTTCTGTAACGGGGCAAAGGCGGAAGAAATTAGTGGAAGGGCATATTTATTCCTTACAGTGATGTTATTAAGTCCGCGTCAGTCAACACAAGGTCTGAGGGATCCGTCCTTTTTCCCTACAAAAAAGAAACCCCCAGCCACGGGTGAAGAGGATGGCCGAATCAAGCCTGCCTCCAGTGACTCTGTAATATACGCTTCCATGGCAGCCCTCTCCGGCCCAGAGAGATTGCACAGCTCTGGCAACAGTTCAATAGAACAGTCATACGGCCGGTGAGGAGGCAGAGGCAGAGTGCAACGTTTGCTGAAAACTGGCCTCAGATCATGGTACACCTCCGGCACAGACGACAGGTCCAAATCTTCTTGTGTCAATTCGGGACCACTGGCCACCGAAGGAGGTAAAGCAGACTGTAAACAATGTGACAAACAATGGCTACTCCAACTCTCTATACGACGGGTGGCCCAGTTGATATGAGGATTGTGGCACTCGAACCAAGGATAACCCAAGACGACGGGGGAGTCAGGGGACGCGAAAACAAAAAACCGGAGAAATTTAGGATGATTGCCCAAGAGAATTAATGAGAAAGGTTCCGTTTCATGGGTGACCAACGGCAGGGTCTGACCATTGACGGCAATAACCAAAACGGGGACCTTTAGAAGCCCTGTTTCAATACCAGTGTTGTACCAGACCGTTGTTGATCAAGTTCTGTTCAGCCTCAGAGTCTAAAAGAGCTCGAGTAGAGTAGGTCTTGGTGTATTTATACAAGATAGCGGAGAGCTGCATGTGGGGAACCTGAGACCAAGAAAAGGTGCCACCCACTAGTTACTGATGGGCCTCGCCCTTTAACCGAAGCTGGTAGGTAGATACAAAGTGGCCTGACTGACCACAATACAAGCATAGCCGCAAACATAGTCTCTGACGCTCTTCGGGGGCAAGTCTCATACCACCCAACTGCATCGGTTCCTCAGCATTATTCCCAGGCGGCGACCATGCTTGGACCGGAGCGGGATGGAGTGAAGGTTGAGCAACAGTGGGCATCCCCCGTAAATGGTACTAGGGCCGGAGGAGCAGGGTCGTGAGTCGAACCGGCATTCTGGTTCGGGTGGAGGGGGCGAAGGACCGGTAGTCAAGGGAGGAATGAGTCGGGCTAGTGTTTCCTGAATAGCCATCAGGGTATCATTAACCCGACCAGCCTATTGTTCTGACTCACGGAACTGATGGGTCAAGCTCAACAGAGATTCCTCGTGTCTCTGGAGCTCGTCACTAGGAACCCGATGTGTGCGCTCTGCAGAGTCCATAGAATGGTCGGAATCTTCTGTTAGGCTGAACGAGCGGACTCTATGGCAGAACACACAGAAACGCAGGGAATGCAGAGTGCTCTTTATTTACAAGGCCCGGATTATTTACACAGGGTGAGAGGTTGTGTACAGTGACAAATAAACTGAGGGAAACCAGGGAAGGGAGCTGACACGAACTCAGAGTGAATGGGGAAATCAGCGCACGCAGGATGCAGAGGTAAAGATGAAGTTGATCTCTGTAGTGATCCCGGAAATACGGCTTCACCAGCAGCTGACAGGCAAGCAGTTGACGGCAGTCAGGGAGGCGACAATATTCCAACACCAGACGTCTGTCACACTGCTCCTAAAAAACGCTCCATCAAATGACGTCTGATGTACCGCTGGTATGCCAACATCCTACCTGTGCTGAAAAAGGAAGCAAACCCATGACACCACACCAGAGAAACACCACCTAATAATATTGCCATATTTGGAATACTGTGTGGAAGTCTTGGGAAATACATACAAAACTTCACTTCAACCAAGGGCGTAGATTTGGTTTTGGCATTGGTGAGGACGAATGATTCAACCACCAAACCCTGCCCCGTTTCTTTTTTTTTTTTTTTTTTTTTTTTTCCTTTTTGTCTTTGCTTCTTGATAAAAAAAAAAAAAGAAAAAAGAAAAAGGGAGAAATATACTTGCCTACATATGCTTTTCTACATGTTTTTAAACCATTTAAAATTACAATTCATAGTTCTATATGTGAATTATATCATGTTAAACTACTATTAAACAAATGACTAAGTATTTTAGACTTTATTTTACTTCAGCCATATTCCATATAAATCAGGTATCATACAAAAATAGCTTCAAATACAGTAATGAACCACCAAGTCATCATCCAGTTTCACCTGTGATCTTGTATCACCATTGCTCTCTGAGCTTTGTGTTGGTTCTTCTGTCACCTGACAAATAGGACATACATGACAATAAGAATAAAATGTGTAGCTGCTTCAGTGTTTCTGTCAATTATATTTGCAAAATCATGACTACCTCATGATATTTTGTCTCAAAAACTAACCACATGAATATCAGAATCAGAATCAGAATGGGGTTTATTGCCAAATGTTGAGCAGGTTTACAACATTAGGAAATTGCTGCGGTGCTTCAGTGCAAACATGCTGTCATAAATATGTCAGTGCCGTTAGGATGAAATTATTGTGTCACCAACATTTTAATGTTGGACATGTACAGGGAGTGCAGAATTATTAGGCAAGTTGTATTTTTGAGGAATAATTTTATTATTGAACAACAACCATGTTCTCAATGAACCCAAAAAACTCATTAATATCAAAGCTGAATGTTTTTGGAAGTAGTTTTTAGTTTGTTTTTAGTTTTAGCTATTTTAGGGGGATATCTGTGTGTGCAGGTGACTATTACTGTGCATAATTATTAGGCAACTTAACAAAAAACAAATATATACCCATTTCAATTATTTATTTTTACCAGTGAAACCAATATAACATCTCCACATTCACAAATATACATTTCTGACATTCAAAAACAAAACAAAAACAAATCAGCAACCAATATAGCCACCTTTCTTTGCAAGGACACTCAAAAGCCTGCCATCCATGGATTCTGTCAGTGTTTTGATCTGTTCACCATCAACATTGCGTGCAGCAGCAACCACAGCCTCCTAGACACTGTTCAGAGAGGTGTACTGTTTTCCCTCCTTGTAAATCTCACATTTGATGATGGACCACAGGTTCTCAATGGGGTTCAGATCAGGTGAACAAGGTGGCCATGTCATTAGTTTTTCTTCTTTTATACCCTTTCTTGCCAGCCACGCTGTGGAGTACTTGGACGCGTGTGATGGAGCATTGTCCTGCATGAAAATCATGTTTTTCTTGAAGGATGCAGACCTCTTCCTGTACCACTGCTTGAAGAAGGTGTCTTCCAGAAACTGGCAGTAGGACTGGGAGTTGAGCTTGACTCCATCCTCAACCCGAAAAGGCCCCACAAGCTCATCTTTGATGATACCAGCCCAAACCAGCCCAAACTCCACCTCCACCTTGCTGGCGTCTGAGCTGGAGCTCTCTGCCCTTTACCAATCCAGCCACGGGCCCATCCATCTGGCCCATCAAGACTCACTCTCATTTCATCAGTCCATAAAACCTTAGAAAAACCAGTCTTGAGATATTTCTTGGCCCAGTCTTGACGTTTCAGCTTGTGTGTCTTGTTCAGTGGTGGTCGTCTTTCAGCCTTTCTTACCTTGGCCATGTCTCTGAGTATTCAAAGGAGCTTGCAAAGAAAAGCATCTGGACTTCTTTAAGTTGCTTGAAGACGTTTCACCTCTCATCCGAGAAGCTTCTTCAGTTCTAAGGTCAAATGGTGGAGAGTCCCAGATATAAACCTAGTGGGAGTAACCCCCACAGAGGGACAAAAGGACCCCCTGATGATCCTCTAATCGCTTGAGCCAAGGTGTGAAACTGGGTGTGGGTCCCAAT